TTATTCATTATTATAATTTTTTTCTAATTTATTTAAGCTCATAAATTTTTACTATTTTGTAAAAACTTTTATATACTTAAAAATTAAATTGCAAATGGACGGTTTCACTAAAGTCCCAATTGCAGTAGGTTTAGATACCTTACGAGTAGAAGAAAGCTAATTGTAAAGAACCTTTTATTCGAAAAGACTTCTATACTTATTAAATTTTCATCGAGTCTCCCTTTTTCTGAAAGGCAGCGACTGCAATGGACGCTGTCAGAAGATTTAAATCTTAGACAACTGGATTACAAGTCGGGCAGTTTAATGTTCAAGAAATGTACAGCTTCCACCTACAGCTTTATAATCTGCCTCGCTTTTGGGGTCACTTCACATAGTTAGAGAACCATTAGCAGATAGAAAAGAAAATTTTTTGGTTTTTATTAAAATGTCATTTAATATCATGCAGTGAAAGTTAGTTTAGACGTAGAGGTTCAGAAATCTTCATGAGTTTGAATCTGGGTCTGAAAAGAGAATTTTTCCATACTTCTTTCTAAATTCAAGGGAGAAAATGACTAATATTGTTGGTGTTAAGACGCGAATAAGGATTTATGCTTATGCTTCATAATTTTTGGAATCTCAGTTTTTAGGCAATTTTACACAATGTTGTTGCATTAACATTCATAAAAGGTTTTATACCTTTCTTGGGGCTTTTATGAATTTTTTCAAGCAATTCGCGATAAACGATAAATTGTAAGCATAAAAATATATAAAATAATAATAAATGCAATGATTCTTCTGTGTAATCAACATTTGCTCGTTTGATGTACCCTATATTTGCTCCTTTGATATAATTAACATTGCATTAAATCTGCAGTCGTGTTTCCACCAACGCACTGGCAAGAGAAGAGCGCTTCCGACGATGTTCCGGAGATATGGTCAGTAGGCCTCGAGAGAAAGTACAGCGCAACCTGCGCTACCGCTGAGAAACGATTAGTTTACAATCTCTCCCCCCTAGAGGAATTATATTTAGCGCATTAGTTGGTCTACAGACTCTCACTCGGAGAGGAAGTACATTTCACGCATCCCGCGCCTGCCTGAGTATTTTTATTTTCGGCTTAGAAATATAATCTTTCCACCAATCTATAATTATATGTCTTTAAATGTATTAAATAATCTCTGTAGTTAATATTGTACGAGTGTGATGTTTGTGGTGTAAGTTCTTGTGTGAATGCATAAGTTCTTGTGAGTTCTCAAACCTGTCTGTCAAGTCTCAACCCAACCACACCTAATTATAATCCAGTTGCTCCAACCCACAACACAACAAATATTATTTAATAAATATAGTGTCATTGTAACATTTTGCTTTGTTCTCAGAAAAAACTATTAGTATGTTAAGGCTGTACTTAAAAGAGGATAGAGTTTAATGGATAAGTTTTGTATACGGATATGTAAGCTTTTTGTTATAAATCTTCAAATTTTCTGAAGCTACATTTTTATATTTAGATTATAAAATTCTATTCGATATTGTGTGTTTAAATACTTTTTTACATTTTTTTCTACATTAATTCTAATCTGTAATATATAATTTCAGCACTCATATTAGTAACGTTAAGTATTTAAAATAACCCTCTACGGAAATGCACGCATTCTATGAAAATAGACTGAGATACAGCTGAAAATTTTCATTTAAAGTTGAAATTTTTAGCATATTAAAAAAAATTCTGAGATATCTGTTATTGGATCACGATTAAAAGTCGAAATATACTAGAAATTTTTTTTTTTTCTGTTTTTAATTTTAAAATCACCAAATGCAAATATTTTAGAAATTGTGCCGCCAATACCTAATATAGCTGGCAATTTGTACGGTTTTATAGTAGACTGCACAGATTTAGAATGCATTGTAATTTTTACTCTCAGTCGGTAAGATTACATTATTTCCTGAAATATTTGAAAACAAAACGTTTTGGTTCAGTTTGACGCTCTACGATCATTTTTTGCACTCATTAGGCTAATTAGACCGGGACCTACTGTTTAACGTGGATTCAGAACCACTAGCATGTGATCCAAAGTCCACAGCGCTAGCCAATTGGTCATCAGGCCGCTAACAAGATGTTAAAAAGGGTTAAGATATAGCGATAATCTTCAGACTGAATTCTGTAAATAGCAGATTGAGGAATGGTCTGCGTGATGCTTGGTTTGGTTTATCGCTTTACTGCCATTTTGTGCACACATTGGGCTAATTAGACAGGTAACTACTGTTTAACGTGGATTCCGAACCACTAATAAACATCTATGCCATCGCCAGGATTTGAACCTGAAGTCTGTAGTACCAAAGGTCAGAGCGCTAGCCAATTAGACATCAGATCGCTTCTGCGGGATGCAGTTGAAGAAGACAGAAAGTGTAACATTCATATTATTTCCAAAGCATTGCCCATTTTAAGTAATTATTAAGTATTAAATACAAATTTACGACTTATCCTGAAAACTTGTACATTTGGCGTGTAGTGGCAATACGTAGCCAGTAAAGCTCGCCAGTCGGCAATTACAGCAACCCTGGTTGTCGAAGTGGGCGCGGAGGCCAATAACGGTTATGTCTATCACCGAAACATCTCTCTCGTTGACACTTAATAAAAGGAAATTAAAGCAGCTCTCTCATTTTGCAGCTACTTTAGCGAGTTTCATTTTCTTCTTCTTATCATCTGCGGGCCGCAAATTTCGCCCCTGCAATATATATGGTAATGGGAAGGAATCACAAGAGAGATTTTTCGCGCATAAGCCCCCTACTCCCCGTCCCTTCGCAAATAAGAAAAATAATTCAATTCCACGACTGTTGTTGTCTCAATGCTCCTATTTGTTATAAATCACACCCCGGCCCCCCTCTCTCTTCTTCCCTCACTCCTCAATATTTCATTTAACTTATAAGAGTTTTTATTTCTGTACCTTTTTTTTTTTTAATAATGCCTCAGTTTTGTGGAAAAATTTGGAAGGAATTTATGCTCTTCCTTTTTCCATCTTTTGTGTGGGAGGCTTCCGCAACAAATAACAGTACAATACGACGGAAAAGATTGAAAAGAAAGTTTAGCAAATATTATTTTCCGTATTAAACAATACGAGGGTGGGATTTTTATTTTCCTTTGTCTCCGTGATTCGCTTATTTAGATTTTTATTATTCGGGTTTTTCGTTAAATCGAATTTAGATAAACCTTCGCCCACTCACATTTTTTTTTTTTTTTTTTTTTTTTTTTTGTAGCGTCTTAAAAATGTATCAATAAAAAGGCGAATTGAAAATGTTGCCGTAAATAGCAAAATGAGGACGTTTTATTCAAAATTCGCTCAATTCTTATGAATAGTGCATACTAATATTTAAATACTACGCAATTTTTTTTCAAAACTAAATATTTCATTAAAATTTATTCATTCTCTAAATTTACCATATTTGATTTATTTAGTTCATAGAATAATTTATGTAATTACCGTACTATACATCTACCTTCGCATACGATCAGCAATCTTCAAATAATATATATATACTACAAGAAAATACAGGGTAATTATAAAAAAAAAAAACTATCTCGATATATGAGTCGCAGCTATCATACCAGGACCTGGTGGTCGAGTGACTGGAGCTCGGAGCCACAGGTTTTGGGTTCGGGTCCTAGCGGTGCCATGAATGTTTGTAGTGATTTGGAATTCCCTTTAAACCCCGTTTCCCGATCTAATAACACTATTGGGCGTAGGGCTGACAACCCTACCCCGTAAAAAGAAAATATCTCATGTTTCGGAATCTGTCCCCATGGAGCTGTTGTGTCAATGAAGAAGCTCAAACTGAAACTTCATTCAGAGAAACTGAATGAAGTTTCAGTTTGAGGTATGCACTCAATAATCATGTTTCACTATAACTGTTTAACTGTACTTTTTCATGATTTCGAAAATTTTTAAATGACTACATCTGACTTATTGACTTATTGGAATGTGTTTTCCATAGTGGTAAATCATAAATAGCGTTTGAGTGGTATCTATAGCACGAAAATCGCCGACATTAATCAGATTAAGAAAAAACGGAGAAAACAAGCAAAACATTTTAATGTGTTTCACAAATTTTCCACACGTGTTGACACTTTGCATGCGGCAGATGGTGGATAGCACTGAAGCTCGCAATGCCATGGCAAATGGAATCTGTTGAATCTGATGTTTGATGGCATCTGTCAAATGAGATGCAATTTATGGATTAAAAGCGTACAGTTAAGATTTAAGATATATCTCTAAAGTGAAATGCTCTACCTGACGTCGTGGGGATGCAAGATGATGCTCTCACACATGTAACGTCTTCTGTCAAACGTTTCTTAATACAACAGTTTGGTGACAGAATTATCTCCCGACATTTTAAGTTTCTATAGCAGCAAAGGTTCCCCTATCTCACTCCAAGGAATTTCTAACCACAAAATACCTTGAACCAAAATTTCATTCAGATACTTGGCTTCTTCATTCAAATACTTCGCTTCTTCATTTAGATACTTGGTTCCTGTATTTGGATATTTCGCTTCTTCATTCAGATGTTTGGCTCCTTCATTTGGATACTTCACTTCTTCATTCAGATACTTGGTTCCTTTATTTGGGCACTTCGCTTCTTCATTCAGATACTTGGGTCCTTCATTTGGATTCATGTTTATTGAGCTAAAAATGTTTATTTACTGTAACCGGCTCATATCTGCTAGTAATACATATGTTGTTGTTTGTTGTTGTTGTTTCTTATCCCACTTGGCTGGCCAAGCCCACGAGCCCATACGGACTCATGATTGAAGGGGAAGGAAGCAGCTTCTGTTGTGATGGAGCACCCGTAGGTAGAAGCCTGACTTTTGCTCCGTGACGCTCTTACGGTCATAGGAGACCGGGACCTACGGCTTAAAGTGGATTCCGAACCACTACAAACATCTATGGCACCGCCGGGATTCGAACCCGAAACCTGTGGCACCGAGCGCCAGAGCGCTAGACACTCGGCCATTCAGGTCCCAAATTTGCGAACGGCACGCGGTGTTCCCAGGTGGTCACCCACCCAAGTACTGACCGCGCCCAATGATGCTTAACTTCGGTGATCTAACGAGAACCGGTAGTAATAAATATAGTTACAATATGATAACATAGTAACCCCTCGTTATGTTGTATATGTCGAGAAACAAAAAAAACGTAACTGACGACGTTATTTTGATTATAATGTTAGTTATATTAAGTATGATAATTCCAATTTATAAAATGGAGGATTTAAAAAAATAGTCTTAATTAACAAACTTACAGGAGGAAAAATATTCTTATTGGCAGTACTACAGAATTTCTATTCATTAAAATAATAATATTAAGCCTGTTTGTGAGGAAAATGTTTGTTTTTCATTGGCAAATACTTGGTAATTTAATGACATATTTGTAACAAATTCAGTGTTACCAAGGAGGCAACATGAAGTAACCAGCTACATTATATTAACAACATAAGAAAAAACAGGAAAACATTCATTGAGGCAGCCCGATGGCAATGTTTTCAAAGTGCATGTGATATGAAGTAGTGCTAGTTAAGCGAAGAGTAGTTTCTTTATAAAGGTTTAATTTTCAGAGCCTGATGGCCAAGTGACTATCGAGTGCCACAGGTTTCGGGTTCCAGTCCTTGCTGTGCCATGGATGTTTGTAGTGGTTCTAAATACACAAGTTCCGGTCTAATATGACTTTAGGGAGTAGGACTCACAACCCTACCCCGTAAAAAGTCAGCGTCATGGAGCTAAGTCAGACTTCTACCTACGGGTGTTCCATCACAACAGAAGCTGTCCCCAATTTCCCTCATTCCATGAGAACACACGGGTTCTTGGACTTAGTCTAGATGTTGCTGTCTACCAAGTAGGATAAGAAACAACAGGTTTAATTCACCGTTTTCACTTAGTATTTTAGCAGCATCTGGATAAATTGTGATAAAGCACCAGCATTTGGATAAATTGTGATAAAGCACCAGCATTTGGATAAATTAAGATAAAGCAGTAGCATCAAGCATAAATCTCAAAGCATCTCGTCAAGTCAAGTTAAGCGAAGGGATGGAAGGCTAAATTCTTTACTTATTCCCTTGAAAAACCAAGACCAATATAGCAAACAGAAATCAAAGTTTTTTTCGATAAATTTGTTCGTCTAGAGTAAAATATTGGATAAATTTGATGGGAAAAAATTGTTCGCCTATAACATACTTGGCCATATTTTATTTCTCTTAGAAGCAGCCTGGTGACCAATACTCTAGCTCTCTGGCCTTAGGTACCACAGGCTTCAGGTTTCGAATACTGGTGGTGGTATGAATATATGTTAGATGTTCAGAATCCACATTAAACTGTAGGTCTCAGACTAATTAGCCCAAAATGTGTCAAAATGACCGTAGACCGACAACCAAGCCTCTTAGAAATATAGTGTTACTTTTTTTTTTTTAGAAAGATTATCAATGCAAAACAGAAAGAAAAAAAATCACAGTAAACAAATTTAAAAAATAACTCAAAATCACTCTACATTTTTTTAATTTTTCGGATAAATTGTTTTAATGGTGGCCGTGCAAAAATATATAATGAATTAAGTTTAAAAGCTTTCCACAAGTTACATTCCAGAAAGATTCATTAGAGTCTGAAAAAAGAACTTTTCAGCAGATTAATTCATTAGCGTGTACAACTTACGTGTGATGTTTTGAACGCTATATAAGAATTTTGTTCTTTTTGTAGTTCGTATCGTTCGGTAAAAGGAACACGGCAATTGGAAATATCTTATAAAATAGAGAGGTAATAGGTTTTTCCCTATTTTAGGCTAGCTTCAAGCCACTCGTAAAATAATAAAAGCAAAAAAAGAAAAAAAGAACTTCATCTCCTTTTGTATTCGGAAACTCGTAATAACGTTCTTTATTGAATACCGGCTGCAATTTCATCGAACAAAAGTGATTTCCCATCGAACATCGTGCATCTTTTAAAAGGAAAGTAATTTATTTTGGCTTTTCACTTTTATTATTACATTTTTTTTCTTCTTCTTCTTCTTGTTCATTCTATTTCGCTGCAGCGATTTGATTTTTAGAAGCTGGTGGTGTGGGGGCGGGGGAAAAAGTTTCTAATATCTGAAAAGCCAGACTTTTAAACATTCGAAGGGAACCCAAACGACTTTTTAAAAAGCGAGGCCGCTTTCTTGCGAATCCAAATATTTCTCACCGCCGCGGTGGCAGCAGCCGAAGCAGATTAACGCGCGTGCCGAGCCTTGTAAATTAATATTTGGCACTTGCTAACAGTTCGGAGGGGGTTTTTCCAATTTCCCCCTTCTAATTACGAACACCTCGCCTTCAGCTCCATGAGCCAGATTTTATTTGCTTTCAATTTGTTGCCAGCGCGTCCCCAAACGATTTTTTTTTTCTCTCTCCCCCTTCTTTTTATTATTATTTTGGGCAGAGGAAGAAGCGCGGGGGGACTTTTAATCATCTCCGCAGACGAGATTGGTCGAGGGCGATGTTTAATTTGAACCTTCGGATGATTGAAAGCTCAGCGCAAGTATGAGAACGGCCATTGTGAGCGACGCAATAAACGCCTGGCGCGTAATTTCGGCCTTCTATTGAACTTTCGATCAGCTTCTCCTTCCCCCTCCCTCCTCCCTTCCCTTCCCTCAAACCTTCTCGCGTGTCAAATTGTTAGCCCTTTTTTCCTTTTGTCCATTTCGTTTTAATTTCTTCTTCTTTTTCTTTTTATACTTTTAGCATTCCTGACTTTTTTATTTATTTATTATTATTATTATTATTCCTGCAGTTTCAAGATGGAATATGATTGGAAAAAAAAAGTTCGATAAATTGACCGGCAGAAACTAATTTAATTTTAAATTAGTTTTTTGGAGTTTAAATATTTTTCTTTACGGTATCTTGTTTCAGATTCTTCCACTATGAGTTCGAACCCCGGTTCACAGCTTAACTGTCTGCTGTAATGAAATAACCCTTAAACAAAAGCACCCCTTACATCAATCACCCACATATAATTAATGTGCAGATGAAATTAATGTATCCGCAGTTTCATATAGTTTTAAATATAAAAATTCAACTCAGTTATCTATTTATTAAGTCTTTATACAAAATATTTTAAAGATCATATCAATAATTTCAACAGAAAAAGCATGATACTCATGCTTTGAGTATTTTTGGAAGTTTACTCTGAGCAATAATAATAATAACCAGTAGATGTAGTTTTAAATATAAAAATTTAATGCTGTTACTTACTTGTTTAAGTCTTTATACAAAATATTTTAAAGATCATATCGATAATTTCACCATGAAAAATATGATGCTCATGTTTTGAATATTTTTAGAAGTTTACAAGTCTATGAGCAATAGTTTTTAGCTATAATAACCATAGTAAATTCTCAACATTAATATAACTGCTATAATGTTAAGCATCATGGATGTAATAAAGCTGAAAAAAATTTAAGTATTTTGTTCTTCGAAATAAATACGGGCAATCTTTTAATCATTATTATATTTATTAACGTAATGTACACTAAACAGAGAGTTTTTGCGTACCGTATTTTGGACGTCCGTCAGCTTTTTCTCCCTAGCGCGCATGCTCATAGGAAATTGCACATGCGTATCTGTAATAATGTTTCTTATGAGCATGCGCGCTAGGGAGAAAAAGCTAACGGACGTCTAAAATACGGTATGCAAAAACTCTCTATTATCTAAGAATTTGGTAGCATAGTGAAAATTGACAAGTTTGATCTTCTGTAATCCAGAGTAACAACAAATTGTAAAAGATAAAGAATGAATACCAATCATGTGTGGAAAACGCCCAATATTCGCCACGCCACGTAAACGCCATTCTATTATTACTGAGATATAAATAATAGTGAAATTATAGTGTTGAAATCAAATAAAAGTGAAGAATCGCCGAGTCTATCAGAACACCATCAAGCCAAGCTAATCTTGAGCCATTATCTACTATCAAGTCAAGCTAATTTTGAGACGCTCTCTGTTATCAAGCCAAACTAATCTTGAGCCACGCTCTACTATTATCCAGGCGAGCTAATTTTGAGACGCTCTCTGTTATCAAGCTAAGTTAATCTTCAACCACTTTCTACTATCAAGCCAAGCTAATCTTGACTCACCATATACTATCAAGCCAAGCTAATTTTTGAGAGGTTGTAATAAGAAACTGGGAAAGATAATAACTTTGTAGCTAACAACGGTTTCTTCCAACTGATTTTGAATTCGCTGTAGCTGGTCCAACACTGCGGACTGAGCAAAAGCGGGAAGTGTCGCTAGAAGCTATGTCTGCTTTTCCTGACCCAATCAAGACTGTGATAAAATCAGGTGAATAAAGCAGTAAATCCTTTTTTCTGGAAGAAGATGAATAACAGAATTGCGGCAAGGAAAGAAAGATCTTTTCAGACTTTAAGATTTCTAAAGATCGATCTACAGTGATGCTTGACGAGAATAGAACTGGCGACAGAAAGTTAAAATATCTCTTAATTTATCGCTCCAAAATTCCAAGTGCTTTAAAAATTATATCTAAAATTAGCTTATATATATATTCAATATATTGGGCTCTTAGCCCTAATATTTGGCTCTTCAGAAGAGACGTTAGCCTACCACAGATAAGAGTCTCAAGGACAATCCCGCGTGAAAATCGCGGCTAAGACGTGACAGATGATTTACAAAATTCACAAAGTAGTTTCACCATTCTATGTAATTAACGAATGGTAAAGCTTTTCTTTATCGCTCCAAAATTCCAAGTATCTTAAAAAGTATACCTAAAATTAGCTTATATATATCTAACATATAACGGCGATTGATATAATTCAGATTTCATTTACAATGATGCTTATTATTGAAAATGCATCTGGTAACTGTTTTGCCAACTTAAGTGACTTCGACCCACTTAAGAAAGTTGTCTTTTTTGCCGCCAAATACTCGTACTTATTTTTTTATTTTATTATTATTATTTTTTTTTTGTAAATATGCCAATGCTTTTATGTAAAAACTTACTTCCTTTCAGACTGTTCGGCCGCGAGGGGGAGTGTCACGCCTGCAGAGAGAGCATCCCGGCCAACGAAATGGTAATGAAGATCCAAGGCCTGGCCTA